AAATCACTAAAAACGATACCCAGTTCCAGAGTAAAATCGCTGAAAACCATACCCTGGTTGGCGGCACGTCCCCGTATAGCGAATATAGGGGCCAGTAGACCAACCACCCGGGCGTAAGTGTCATTGTTGGTTGTATTTTCATTTCACAGTTGAATTCTTAGAAACAAAAGTTGTTTTTCCCACAGGATTTGAATTGGGCGGTAAACGTACATGGCAACGCGTTAGCCGATTAGGTCTGTTGTAGCACTTGAAAGGTCTCATACTGACTGACATACAGCAACAGGTTTTAGGTGACTTATATATTCAATAATTTTTGACGTTTATATTGAGTATTAAGCAATGTTGGAGTTTTCGAAAAATTTGGTATTTTTTAAATAAAGAGCGCCACGCTTCCGTTGAAAACAAAAGATAGCTCCATCATCAGTCTGAAGAACTATGCTATGGAAGCGAAGTTTATTTTACCGCCAAATTAACTCCTAATCCAATTATGACACTGAACTATATTACCCGTTTATAAAGGCTGATTTACACGGTACGATTTGTCGCGCGCGACTTGTAGTATACGATTTTCCTACTACAAGTCGTAGGTTGCGTACGACTGTTGTAGGCAAGTCATAGGGGCATTTACACTGCAGTCACTGCAAGTCGTATACTCCAAATCGCACGAGACAGTCGTGCCGTGTAAATCAGCCATAAGAAGTCGACACTTTTAACCCTCTGATGCTAGCACTTTAGCATTATGGTTGGAATTCGAACCATGCTTTGAAAAATTGCAAGTTTCGTAAATCGTGAGATTCGAATTAAAACACTGCTCAAAAGAGAAAAACAACTAGCAGACTCAATTATAGAATAGGAAATGCAGCTAGTCACCAATACACCTTTTCCATCGAAAAAGACAGCTGTGCTAATGTGTATACGCTAAACATGCGTTTTTTACTGGCCTGGACATCAGTGGGGAACTCCTATTTATAACTTAAATTGCAGTGCGAAAATGGCCTTCTCAAGCAGAAAATGGGTTTTGTGGAGAATCTCCATCCYCAGTCTCTTGAACAGTTGCACTTTTGCTTTGTTAAATTGTTTTCAGAGCGACCAAAAGCCCCCTTTTTGGGACTCACTACAGCAAACACAGTTTTCTCAGATGCACGACCGAACAGCATCAAGGGATATGTTGATTCAAATCGACATGGATGTCCAGCAATCCTATTTTTATAGATATTTTATAAGTGCCAAGTCACTCGCACCTACCGGTAAAATATTGCACCGATTGCCTTGTTTGGGTGTTAAAACTTGCCAAATTTACCTTGGTAGGGTCTGAAATCTGCTACAGAAAGACTTTTATCGATAATTCTTGTAGATGAATTAATTTGCCAAAAAGCGAAGCCATTTGGATAAACGATGCAAAATAAAAACACCTWCATTTTTMTTCAAARTTAATTTTCTCAAAACTCATCGCAGAGATTGTAATAAAATTTTCAGAATCATTTCTTAATAACATAATTGATATACTGACGAAGTTTCAATAAAATCTTAACCTAAAATTTCGAGTTGTTCGAATGTACATCATTTTGCGTTTTTCGCGGCGGGATTGGGATAACTCTAAAAATTTGCCGCGGGATACGTGATTTCTGCGTTCCAATTTGTTTAGTTTAGTGACAAGTTTTTTCTT